ATGATAAAAGTTGTGATATAACAATATTGATATTTCTTAATTATTTATATTTTTAAATTTATATACTGTATAAATATATTGTCTATCTTTTTTTATTTTTAAAGGTCATCTATTTACATACATTTGTTGGCTTCAAAAAGATATCATATCCTTCCTTAGAACTTATAAAGCTAATGTACTCTCTCAATATTCTTAGTGACTATCAATGTATTTCTCTATGTTCTTAAGGATTTGTAAATTCTGAATAATTACTTCTGTACATTATGGTAATAATTTTCACAGTAATCATTAATCATTGCTTTATTTTACTTTAACTGATCAATAAAATTTTAAGGTTTCACTTCATGTCACATCTCAAATGTATCCTTGTATCTGAAAATGAATATTCAACTATTAACAACAAATTCAAATGACAAGCCCAGTTCTCATTTCTGACAGTGTTGCACTGTCTGTATTTGAAATTAACCTAAGCGATCATTTTATTACAGAGAATGCAGTGATGCCTTAAACGATCCTATATGTTCACACCTAAATGATCCTACATTTAGGATCGCTAGTCCCCATCCATTTCAGCTACTCAAGGGTATTGCTCCAGAGATTTTGCACAGGCTCTCCTACTTCATGTTTTTCACTCTGTTTTGATCATGATCACTATCCACATACAAGCATGTGGTAGTTTCCATCTAAAATAGAAATGAAAATAGAACACAAGCTCTGATTCAGAGTCAAGAACCACCAGCTCCTGTCCCATTTAGTGATTTCCCTTTCAGTCTTAGAGTCCTCTTCACCCTTTCCAAACCTATCCAGTCAGCTCCCCCAACCCTACCCCCAACTCCACCTAAACTGCTCGTGTCCTAGTTGCCAAAACCCTCCATGTACTGAATCCATTGATTCCTTCTCAGTCTTTCCTTAGCTTGACCTGTCAGCAACACGTAACGCAGGTCATCACTGCTTCCTCCTTGGGAACTTCTCTCTGCTGGCGTTCAGGATGCCACCTATTCTGAGTTTTCTTTCTGCCTCGCTGACTGCTCCTTCTACTTCAACTTTGCTCCTCCTTCTCTTTTCTAAGGGCCAAGTGCCCTAGGGCTCATCCTTGGTCCCCTTTCTCTCCATTTACTTAATTGGTGCTCTCACCCAGGTTCATGCCTTTAAATACCAACTCTCTGCCAATGTCTACATTTATATCCCCATCCTAGACCTCTCTCCCAAACTTCAGCCTTGTGCATTCAATAACTTACATGGTTATTAGCATGTCTCATAGATATCTCAAACTCAACCAGCCCAAGCTGTGCTTCTGATATTCATACAGCCCTCTCCATCTTGGGCAGGGGCAACTCCAGTTCTTCCGGTTTCTTAGGCCCAACACGCTGAAGTCATTCTTGAATCCTCTTTATCTCTCTCACCCCACAAACGATCCTGGAATCACAATTCTCCTGTCTCTGCTTTCAAACTATTTCCAGAAATCCAACACTTCCCACCACCTCCATTCGAATCATCTTTGTGTGAGCCAGCATCATCTCTCCCTGGGATTGCTGCCTCCTGGCTGGTCTCCTTTCTTCTGCTCTTGCCCACTCCTGGTGAGTCTCAACACAGCAGCCAGAGTCTTTTAAAGCATAATTGATGTCATGTCCAAAGCCTGCGGTGGGTCCCATTTCATTCAGAATCAGAGCCCTGCTCTGAAAGGCCTTCTTTTGTTAGGCCCCTGTGCTTCTCTGACCTCATTACCTGCAGTTCTCCACACCATCCCCCGACCCCCTTCCCACCGCAAAACTTCACTTCCCACGAGGACTTGCAGTTCCCGGAACACACTGTCATGCTCCTGTCTGAGAGCCTTTGCACTGTGAGTTCTCTCTGCTTGCATAGCCCTTCCTCCAGATATCTGCATGCATGGCTAACTATCACCTCTTTCAGATCTTTGCTTCGTTAACATCATCTCAATAAGGCCTCTGCGCACACTCCTCCCCATCACGCACACAGTCTCCTTCTTTTATCTTGTTTCTTTCTGCTGTGAAATGTACTGCCTTTGGACACATTCTATGGTTTATTTATTTATTTGTTAATTTTTGGTGTCTTTATTCCTCAGCTAGAATATAAATTTCAAAGGGAAGAATCCTCATCTATATTGTCCACTGATATACGTTAAGCATCTAAAACAGTGTTCAGCAGATAGTAGTCATTAAACATGTTGTTTACTGCTTAGTGAATGAAATGTTGAATTAGGTCTTTGGCTTTCCTGCCAAAGGCTGAGGCTGAAAACTGATATTTTTAGACTACAAAGGCCAACGATAAAATTCAGTGCATCCTTTCCCAAATGTACACAAGTCTCTTCCAGTCCCACTGACCTATCTCCTGAGGTGAGAAGCCTTGGCCACTTATCTTAACTTGGATCTGTTTTCTTCTTTTTCCAAGGCCAAAATGGCCTTCCTGAGACTTTCTTTTCTTTTTCTTTTTTTTTCTTTTTGTCTATGGTTGAAATTGCCCTCCTCTATTCCCAGAGATTCCCCCATGTTCTTAATTTCTTTGCTCAAGGCTCTTTGTTAACTTGACAGCATAGCTGTTCTTGTCATGTAACCTGAAGCAAAAGACCTGGAGAGGATGGGTGGCAATGACTGGTAGACGGTGTTTGTTTAAAGGAGGAAAGTGAATTGAGGTTGTTATATCATATTCCATGGGCCCAAATAGCTGCACTATCACAGAAGCCACATTTTGCATCTTGTTCTCATGACCTTAAGAAAGATTTTGTCAAGTGTTTTTCTAAAATTCGGATACTCTATATTTAAGGCCTTAGAACAGTGCACTCAAAAATAAGATATGTGAATAAATGAATAATTGATCTATTCAGCTGTTTGTTATACCTATTACAAATATAAATAAACTGCCAGTGAGATTAGTTTGATATGATTATTTTTATTGAGAGCCTCCACTGTACTGATTCTGATTATAGCTTTTACTCCCACCATGCTTCTTTGTGTACATTTCTTTCCCACTGGCTGGGATAGGTGAATTCTCAAGGAAGGAACCATGCTCTCTGAGTCTGGTGGATCTCTTAACAGCTGAGCTGCGGGCTGAGGATATCAACAGGACTTCACTAAAAAATTTTTTTGTATATTTTTTAAAGCAAAACCCTTGACACCAGAAATGTGGCCTGTGACGATTATGATTCCTGAGCATCAGGGATTTGTTTCCACCCCATGCATCTTGCCCAGAACACTTTGTTTTCATCTCCACAAGGCCAGTTCATTTAACCGTAGCTTACATTCCCAGGGATTTGAGTATTTCATTGTCTGGCTTGGGTTAAACTCATTAAACATTTTAGAAAGAGTATTTTGAAGGAGTATATTGTTAATATTTTAAAACCCAAAATTCTTGGCTCCTCAGCAAAATATCTCTCAGATTAGTGCTATCTTTGTAACACTCTCTGTGGTATCATTAAACCCAGATAAAGTAAAATTGCTCTTAAAGTGTAAGTAGCTGTGTCTATGGTTCTGTCCTTCCCAGGGGGTTAAAGGGTAATGATTTTTTTTTTAAATTTAATTATGTATGTTTTTTTCCATAAGTAAAAACAAGGGAAATAGGGATGGGCTAAGAATTTCAGTTTTTACTGATACCTGAAAAAATATGGAGCTGCTGGTTTTGTTTAAGTAACTTCAGAATACTCTGATGTGTAATAGATTGTATTCTGCGCAGCAATATCACAAGGAGTGAGGAGTGAGTGTTGGGTATGTGCCAGGAATGGGCCTCCAAAGGTAAAAAGGGGGCTAACCTTTAACACTTTCTCTATGTTTCATGGGCCACCTTTTATCCCAATTATACCAAAATATTTTCATCATACTCCTAGTAAGTATCAAGCAATTACATGCCTTTAAAAATGGAGCAAAGGCATTGATTTTGTAAGTGTGCTAAGGGGTAGCTACTTCTCTCTAAATGACTCCAGGAATGCTTCTGGCCCAGCTACCCTCCGCTCTTATTTGTTTGTTTTTGCTTCTTCTTGGTTTAACTTTTGCTACCTAACTAAATATTTGCCTAATGCTTGAACAAGGACTCTTCACACCAAACTCTGCATGTCTTTGTGCTTAGAAGTAAAATCTCATTTTGTTCCTATCAGGTTTACAGTTTCAAAACTCTGTACAAGTGAAGGAAGTGGTTTTGAAACATGAAACGGGATATTTTCTAGAAGCGTGGATGCTTCTAGAAACATTAGCCTTCCTAGAAAATGTTTCAGATTTTCTTTCAGTAATATCTAAATTTTGTTCTTAGGATGAATTAGGTGTGTGATTGTTAGAAAGCATAAGTTTGCCCAAATCTTACACAATATTCTTTGTGAAACAATTCTGTACCAGAATAAGAATTTTATTTGTCCTTTCATGTGAAGGTTTTATCTGGATTTTTTTTTTTTAAGATTAAAAACTGAATGTGCTGGGAGTCAGGACCAGAGCAAGACTTGCGGAGACTAAGGGCAAAAAATATTTTGCTGCTCCTTTTTCTGTGCCCCACCATCCCCAAGCAATGCAAACATGAACCACACTAAGCCATAAAATTCTAAAGAAAGTCCTACAACATTCTGACTTTTCACATGATACAGCACCTCAAAATTTTCTTTTTTTTTTTTTTTTGAAGGATTAATAGTATTTACTGATTTTTGATTCAGGTAACTTTTATTTTCCTTTTTAATATTTTTAATATAATTTATTGTCAAATTGGTTTCCACGTAACACCCAAGTGCTCATCCCAAGTGTCCTCCTTAATGCCCATCACCCACTTTCCCCTCTCCACCACCCCCCCATCAAAATCTGAATTGTTTTAGGATACTGCGTTAGCTTTGCAGGTGCCTTTAATCTTTGCTTGCCAATGTAGCGTGGGCGTCGGGGGTGGAGTGGGCTCTACGAGTGTGCAAGGACTGGGCTACACGCGCCGGGTATTTCTGCACCCGTTTGCAGAACATGTGCAGGTAACTATCCGCCGAACAGTCAGTGCCTCTCAGAGACTTGGGAATGGAGTAGATGGGCGGGGCAGACCCGGAGAGCCACACCGAGCGCCTGCTGGTGCCGCTTCCAGACCCCGCCCCCGCCTACGCTAGGCCCGCGGCGCGAGGGGCGGGGCCGAGCGCTTCAGCGAATGAGCACCTGCGGGCCTGGCTGGCCGCGGGCCGGTCGCCCGGGCGACCGGAGTGCGGCCCCGCCCCCCCCCGCCTAGCCTCCCGCGCGCGGCTGAGTGCAGGCTAGAGTGCTACCTGCGGTCCCTGCGCGCCGCGCGATGAGCAAGTGGAGCGTCGGGCGAAAGCCCAGCCGCACACTCGGACTCCTGCTGCTGGTGATCTTGAGTTACTTGGTGCTCCGCAGGTGAGAGAGCCCCGCCCGGCACCTGCCTGACTCCAGACACCTCAGCCTTCCTCACCGGTAGTTCTCGCCTCTACTTTCACCTGATGCAGGCGGCCCCAGGAGTATGCCTCCCGCGAAACCCGAGTCCCCGCAGGGAAGGGCTCTCTAGCCTTTTCTTTGGGTCTGGCGTCCCTCTGCACCACTAGATAACTCTGCTTCTGCCTGGAGATCCAGGCCTCTGGGTCACAGTAGGCGCTACCCTCTCAGTCTCCAGGAGTCTGTGTCCTAGAGCTTCCCCATTCTTTGTCTGTGCTTGTGATGCCTGGGCTCTGCTTTTCTCGTGGATACTCCCAGCTCTCTGGGAAGGCTAACATAACCAGCTTTCAGGTCTTTTTCAGATGTCCCCCATCACTGCTCCGCCCCTAGTCCTCCGTGGGTAACCGGCTTCTGCTGTTCTCTGGGTCCCTACGTTTCCTACCAATCCTGCTGGGAGGCTTCACTCTTCAGCAGAGGCTAGACCTCCAGGACTCCCAACTATGATCGATCTTGCCTTCCCAGCGCAGTCAGGAGAATGCTGTCCCATAGGTCCTACAAGATCATCAGCCCTGGATTTATTTGCCCCACTCGAGGATTGATACAGCTTCTGTCTCCATTTTTCAGTCACCAGCCCTTCCCAATCCCCTTTTGCAAAGTGCTGTCTGTGGCAAATGGTTGTGTTAATGATAGAATAACTTACCCACAGCCTTCATGCGTGCCCTAGCCCAGAATTTTTGTTAACTTGTATCTGTATGTAGTATTCTATAACCCTGACCAGGTCTTTCAGGTCGATGGCTGGCACTTTCCATATTCAAAACCTCCAGTGTTGCTGGGAACACACACCAGCAGTATCAAATGCTTTGGCTGAAAGTTAATGTTGAAGCTGAGTGGGGGCATACATACACCCCTTAGCTTTTGTTTCTTCTCTATCCATTTGTTGGTTTCTCTGAGATTCCTCTGGGAGATAAGGAAGTTTTTGATGGAGGTGAATATCTGAATGTATTTTGCTGCCACAAGAACACCTTCAGAAACTCTTCCCATTTCCACCTTCTCAAGACTTAAATGTCTTGTTTTACCTCTTGTTGGCTTTTCTGTTGGGAAGGATGTCATAATATTGTTTGAGAGAAAGAAATGGCGCTCTTCTCACTCTGGGGCTCAGAAAACTAAAGAGGCATTTTGTTTCCCCAGTTGTTCTCAAGACTTTTTTTCCATCTTGTTAGTTATCTCTAACCCATTCCTCCTTGAAGATTGGTTCTGGCTCTTGTAGGATGCTCAGCCTTCCTCCTGATGCAAGGCTGATGCAAACCCCAGAAGGATTGCTCAAAGCAGAGGCAGCAGGAGCCTCTGGCATGCAGCAGGGTATCAGGAGCTCATATCCAGAACGAAAGGCCATAGGTGTGCAAGTAGCATGTTGTTTGTCTATTGTTGGAGGTCAAGGATATGGCAGTCCCATGCAGGGGACCCAGCCAGGTCATTATGAGGAGCAGCTCTGAGGGGCTTGAGTTGGGCCAGATAGTGCACCCTAATAGTGTGGGAAGGAGGCTGGGTGTTTGTTGGTGTCTGGCAGGAAAGAAAATGAGGTGTTAGGTAGCCGACTGGCTGTGAAGAAGCCTGCGCTTCTCACAGATGAGTTAACCTTGTCCCTACCTGGGTTACGGTGGCTGCAGCAGGAGTCAGTCAGGGGCTTATCGAGGTGCCTGGGAATGGCTGTGACTCAAGCCTGAGGAAATAGTTTGAAATGATTAGTAAAGTCATTGTTTTCCTTGTTATCCCTTCTTTCATACTAGGTGAGACAGAGAAGCTCGGACTCCAATTCAAAGCTGTCTCTTAGGGTCCTTCACAATATGTGTCTTTTGGGCCTCTTTTTGATTGTATCACCCTTATGGTATTAGGCTTTCTGACCAATTCCTCCTGTCTGGCATGAGTTGGACACCAAGAATTATCTCTGGAGGTCAGAGGAGAACACACTCTTTGTTGCTTCCTCTTCTTGCTTTGCTCTAGCTTTGATTGGATCATTAACTGAGTGGGAGGTGGGAACCTCTCCCAGCAGTAGCTGGGAATGTGGATGTGGCCAGTGGAATATAGGTCACATGGGAATTGGCTACTCAGCTGGCAGCTTTGTGGAGCTGAGCTGTCAGGATCAGCCCTTTTCTTATACCTCAGGAGGCAGGTATTTGGGTGGGGGAAGGGAAAGGGCTGCTGGGCTCCAGCTTTTGTTTTTTCCCATGAACTTTACCTTATGCTGGTTCATAGCCAATTATAACTGTTTGATTATATCACATCCAAGAAATAGGAGGACAAAGATGACTTTTGAGGATGACTTTGTTTTTTTTTTTTTTTTTTAGCTTTAACACTGATCTGAAGTTACCTTTATTATAGTATAATTGTCAAGCAATAAGCTGTGCATGTTTAGCTTGTACAGTCTGGAAATTTTTCATATATCTTTATCTATCTATATGTATGAAAATACCACCACAATTAAGACAGTGAAAATATCCATCAACTCCAGAGATTCCTTACACTCCTTTGCATCTCTCTCTCCTACCCCTCTCTGCTTCCTCAGCCCCAGTCACACTGATTTGTTGCTTTCTGCCACCATATATTTGTTTGCATTTTCTAGAGTTTTATAGAAATGTAATCCTAAAGTATGTACTCTGTTTTGATCTGGCTTCTTTCACTCAGCATATCATTTGGAGATCTTTGATGCGTATCAAGGTGAACCTTGTCTAAGCCAGCTGCCTTTCCTTCTCTTTCCTCCTCCCACTCCATGAATGCAAGAATGCCTGCTTGATATGATCGTTCCCACTTATGACTTTTTTCCTTACTATAAATGGGTCACTGAGCAATAATTCAATTAGCTCTGCATCTTGTATACCTGATATTTTAGTTGGCAAAAGTTAGGAGGGAGGAGAGTGGCCGGTAGGCAGCTTGCATCATGCTTCTGTAAAGGTAAGTTCATCTCTTTGCCCAGCTCTGCCTCACTCAGTGCTCCTTCACTGGCATTGCCTGGATTCCAGACCCAAAACTCTTCTTGAAGGAAAGAAGAGGAGAACCCTATCAGTCTTCGCCTAGAGAAGGTGGATAACTTGGCAACATGACCTGGTCACCTTCTTTCATCCAAATCACGGCCAGTGCTGTCTCCCAAGGGTGTGTGGGCAAATTGTGCCTCTCTTCCTGGACTTCTGTGAGGTCACTGATTTTATGAGCTTTGCTTGTTTTAGGTCTCTACCCTGCTTGAGGCCTGAGTCATATTCCCTGGAATGTTCAAACTCTTTGAACAGTGTTCCTTTCATCTTCTAGTAGTGAAGTTTTCAGCATCTGGGAAATGTCTCTTTCAGCAGGTAGTCATTTCTCTGACGTAAGTGGGGGAACATGGCTACCTGGGCCTTGGCTCAGGCAGAGAGAGGTAGGATGTCTGAGCTGCCCTGTGCCTGGAAGATAGAGTTGGCACTGGGATTCTTACAATGTTGTACTAGCCAACTGAAGGGGACCAGATTGTTTTAGAGCAAGAACATGGAGATTATTGGTGTATTTTTGATAAAGGGACTGAGATACCCAGGAGAATTCAGGGCAAAAGCTGCACAGCCTGGGAAGCAGAAGTATTGGAAGGTTGGCCAAAGAGTTCTCTATGCCTTAGGTCAAGGAAGTAGCAAGTGAAATAAAAGTGCTTAATCTTTGATGCAATGACTCAGAGTTCCATTATACTGCCTTGAATGCTCTTCTAATGAAGATTCAGAAGATGCTGGAGTTTAGAGTAGTCTTTTCAGAACATTTAGCACATGAGAAGGATTCAGGAACTCCTGGTTCCTCCCCTATCATCCAGCAGAATTCTTTTGGTATAGGGATATTTTCTGCTTCTTCTCCACTCAGGTTTATTTCTTGCTTAAATCAATTGCTCTAGGTATTAAAGGCCACACATGTTGTGTGAGACTTCTCCTGGGATACCAGGGAAGGGGTATTTTTAGAGGCTAATGGTAATGAAGCAAATAACTCTTGACTGGGGTCTACTGGGTAGACACTCTTAGGTGATGATCCTTACTGATTTTGTACACCGATACACAGCAAGACAGCTTGTGGCATTGTTCCCTTCAAGACCATGCTGCTTTTCCTGCAAAGTTTACTCTGTGAGTAGGTAATTTATGTGAAGGATAAAATATTCAAATAATATAAAGAGGAAAATAAAGCCTCCACTCCAGGCCCTAAGGCACCCCTCACCCCTCTATCAGAGGTGATTACTAATAATGGTTTCTCTCGGGGGAATTCTGTGCATATACGACAAAACAGCTCTATGTATTATTACCCCATTTGTCCATTAGGGACATAATTTATTCAAACAATCCCCTATTGATGGACATTGACTGTTGGCATTCTTTTAGCTACTGCAAACAAAGTTGCAATGTATGTTAACTATGCTGGGATTGAAGTAAAATAATATAAAGTAAAAACAAGAAAACTCCCAAAATTTCAATGAATATCTGTTGGGTATATTTCTGTCTCTAGAGTTGCTGGCCATATGAGATATTCATTTTAAATCCTGATAGACATTTAAAATAAGTAAATAAAAATAAGTTAAAATAAGTAAGTAAAATAGCACATTCTGTTTCTGTTTGATCAATATGAGGGAAATTCTGAGCTCTAAAGTCCGAGGGGGAAATTCTGTTCACTCTGTGTGTGCATGTGTTCTTTGTGTCTTTAAGAACTAGTCAGTCTCTTATATGTCTAAGTAGATAAATCTCCTGCAGTGGTGGTTGATTTAACAAAATTGTTGAGCATATTTATGTTGCTCCTGTTTTATTAAATCATTTTATTCTGATTCCACAAGCACTCTAAGAGGGGAGTCTTGTTATCAGTAGAGTCCTCTGGGTCAGTTAACAGAATTTTCACCCCTCTCTAGGTTGAGATATAACCTCTTGTCTATGTATGATGCTATCAATGGAATATTTTCCCAAAATGAAAAATTTCTGTTACATAACATCAGGACACTT